CTGACCTACTGACCTAAGTCAGGAATCTGATGTCGTTTGTTGAAACGGTTTATAAGTGTTTCTCGTTTCTCGTTTTTTAAATAGATTAGACCGTTGGTTTTCCCGTTTGAATGGTTTTACACTAGTCATTTTTATAGCTTGCTGTTCGGTGTGAGCCAAGGCCCCGTGTTGTAGACCGTACTTTGACCTATAATGGTTTGATTTTACTAATTGTGACTTGGATGGAGAGATGTCTCATTGGAAATCATACCACATCTTCTTATATATATGCTCTATGGTTGGGTTGTTGTCCCTTTGACACATTCCCCATTGCCATTCTCAATTTTATTTCATGTGAAAGGTGTGAGTGTTTTGTATCAAATTGAAGAAATTGCATATAACCATTGATGATTTCCATTAAAGAAACTCACAAAATGGTTGATTTTATACCTTTTGAAAGTTATCAATGAACTGAAAATACTCAATGGAAATGTCTCAATATCAGTTTTATTCAGAAAATATCTTTTCATGCGAGATAGAGATAACAGGCCAAAACAATTACAGAAAATAATATATATATATATACATGTATATTAAAGTCAATTTCATAGGCAATCAAGAAACACAATCTTATAATTTTAAATTGTTAAAATATGTATAAGCTTGAAATATGAAGACATTAGTATTGTTTAACTTATTCAGGAAAAGATACCAGCAATGTAAACATGACCTCTCTGCCGTACATTGAAATAGTTTTTTTCCTACCTTTTTATGCCCCACCTACGATAGTAGAGGGGCATTATGTTTTCTGGTCTGTGCGTCCGTACGTTCGTTCGTTCGTTCGTCCGTCCGTCCGTCTGTACCGCTTCAGGTTAAAGTTTTTGGTCAAGGTAGTTTTTGATATTGAAGTTGAAGTCCAATCAATTTGAAACTTAGTACACATGTTCCCCATGATATAATCTTTCTAATTTTAATGCAAAATTAAGTTTTGATAGTGCGAAGTTCAGGTTAAAGTTTTTGGTTAAAGTTTTTGGTTAAAGTTTTTGGTCAAGGTAGTTTTTGATGAAGTTGATAACCAATCAACTTGAAACTTAGTACTCATGTTCCCTATGATATGATCTTTCTCATTTGAATGCCAAATTAAAGTTTTGACCCCAATTTCACGGTCCACTGAACATGGAAAATGATAGTGCGAATGGGACATCCGTGTACTATGGACACATTCTTGTTTTTGTTATCTTATGACGGTCCTACTTTTTATGTTGCTTAGAGAAGTATTCGGATGGAGAACACAATATAAAAAAAGGAGATGTGGTATGCTTATCAATGAGACAACTATCCACCAAAGTTCATATGAAGTAATTTTAAGCAATTATAAGCAACCGTACGACCTTCAACGATGACAAAAAACCCATACCGTATAAATAGTCGGCAATAAAAGGCCCCGACAAGCCAACATTATCATTGCCCATCAACAGTTTTACAATTTTTATCGACAGAAACGATTTTGTACCATTAATTAACATAAACTTCAAATACCAATACGTATATAAAAATTATCGTTGTGCTTCCAAAAAATGAACTAAAATTGTTCCGGCTCCTAAAGGATATGCAGATCATGCTTCATATATGGCACCCGTCATGTTGATTATTTATGAACAAATTCGATAAAAAATCTCATTCCGTGATGTAACATTCAAGGGAAACAGGACGATCAAGACATGCAATACTCTAAGGAACATATAGGTGGTTATCTGTGACATAACTATTACTGAATTGTAACCAACGCGTGATTTTCTCTTAGTAGCTCTTGGCGTTGTCAGATTATTTTCGATCTATGAGTTTGACTGTCCCTTTGGTATCTTTCGCCCCTCTTTTTGAAAGGATAACTTTAATTATATTACGTGGAACCCATAGGTTAATAGCTTGCTTTTAATTATCAAGGAGATCCCATTAGTTGACAGGAGTCTATCTAGAAACATGATCATTTCTTGGTCTTCTCTCGACGGCAGTAAAATCGTATCCCAAAAAAAGGCCGTTGGGCTGTTTTGGATGTATGAATTCACAGCCACGTCCGGTCAGAAAGAGAACGTTACTCCCGCCATGCCGGTGCTTTATCATGGTATGAACCCTTGCAACAACTCTGTGAGAGGACGGGCGTTGGTCAGTTACAAGGCCTAAATTCTGTCCCTTTTCCATATACCTACATTTTCAATTTGCATTCCAAATTTCCAGCGATCATCCCGGTCTATCCCCTATTGCAGGACCTAACTATTGTATTTACTTTTAATTTGTCTCATCCTGATAATGCATGAAACATTTGTTCTGGACGTTAATCAAACAGCAATAAAGTTATCCCAGAAATTGTGTGAGGACATACAAGCTCTGAAATATCGTATAAAATGGAAGCTATACAAGCTATATACAAGAGCTGCTAAAATATTTTTGCAAAGAAATGAAAAGTTTGGTAGATGCCATCATCTCTGTTATGTCAAGTTTTTGTTTGAAATCGACCATCATGGTCAATTTCTAGATGTTTAAGTCAAGATGAGAGACAAACTTAACTGTACAGTGCTATCCTTTGTTTCAAGTTCGATGCGATAGATCAGATCGATGCGTTCGACGAAGTCACCATCATCTACATAGCGGAATGTAAATATAATTCGAAGATTCTGAATGAAATTTAACTCGTATGAATAGAAAAATAGTCGACAAGCAGAAACGCAGTTGATTCCCATATAATGCCTATTGCTTGTCGAAAAGATGTCCCCCAAAGTAACAAATATGTTGTCAATGAAAATAATCAAGCATCTTGAAAAAAACAGCTTCAGAAAATTTCTGTATGAATATATAGAGTAGTTTTTTTTTACAATACGTTGATTAATTGTTCATTGCTAAATGTTCAGTGGCAAATAGTTCATGTGTATTTAGGACGATGACCATGAGCAATGGTAGGATATGCAAGGTTCTGGTCGACAGGGATGGCGGACGGGAATTTTGGACTGTCATTGGAAAATAATGGTATGTTACGTACGAACCCCTTCTTTAACGTGCAAACAGCAGCACTCGTTTACACAAAGCATCGGATTACATAGATATAAGAAGATGTAGTATGACTGCCAATGAGACAACTCTCCATCCAAGTCACAATTTGTAAAAGTAAACCATTATAGGTCAAAGTACGGTCTTCAACACGGAGCCTTGGTTCACATCGAACAGCAAGCTATAAAGGGCCCCAAAAATAAGTAGTGTAAAACCATTCAAACGGGAAAACCAACTGTCTAATCTTTTTAAAAAACCACACCAACAAACGACAACCACTCAACATCAAGTTCCTGTCCTCATTCCGCACTACCGCAAGGTTTTTACTACCGGAACGAGTAGTACCAAAGAGGACAATATATATATAAATCCCGGTCAACCCTTGGGGTCTTTTACCAAGTATGATTTATTCCTCCCTGAAACCAGATATCTGTATCTATAAAAAATTCGTAAGGGTTCCGCGGAACCCAGTGTCACGCCTACTTTTGCTGTTAATCACAGGCTCAACAAAAATGAGGAAAAAAACTAATAAAAATATTCCTCTCTATACTATCTTTTGATTGTAAGTAGCTTCTGTCCAAGTTTGGTAAAAATCCAGGATAGTTTATGAATCTAATAAATGTTTTAAAAACTTAAACTGCAGACTGTATGTAATGTTAACTGGAAGAAAAACTAAGTCCATTTATAAGTAAAACACTGAAAAAATGGAACAAAATTTTAACAAAATTGCCTTCTAGATACTAGCTTTTAATCATAAACAAGCTTCTGTCCAAGTTTGGTACAAATCCAGGATAGTTTAAGAAAGTTGTTAAAATTTTAAAAACTTTAACCACAGAGTGAATGTAATGTTAACTGGCAGAAAAACTAAGTCCATTTATAAGTAAAATACGGAAAAAATGGAATTTTTTTTTTTACAAACTTTACTTCTGGATACTATCTTAATATGATCATAAACAAGCTTCTTTCCAAGTTTGGTAGAAATCCAGGATAGTTTAAGAAAGATATTAAAATTTCAAAAACTTTAACCACAGAGTGAATGTAATGTTTCCTGGCAGAAAAACTAAGTCCATTTATAAGTAAAATACGGAAAAAATGGAATATTATTTTTACAAAATTTACTTTTGAATATTATCTTATGATCATAAACAAGCTTCTGTCCAAGTTTGGTAGACATCCAGGATAGTTTAAGAAAGTTATTAATATTTCAAAAACTTTAACCACAGAGTGAATATTTGTGGACGCCGCCGACGACGACGACGCCGACGGAATGTAGGATCGCTATGTCTCGCTTTTTCGACAAAAGTCGAAGGCTCGACAAAAAGAAGATGTGGTATGATTGCCAATGAGACAACTCTCCACAAGAGACCAAAATTTTATAAAGGATCAATACAAAAAATGTAGATTCCTTGTCTAAACCTGTATACTGTAGAATACGTTATGATATTATAAAATGTATTTTAGAATATAATTTATTTGTTTTTACATCGACTTTCTCAGCCTAGTAGACATATTTCCTTTTAGTTTATTCATACATGGTGCAAAAATCAATAAAAGAAAGAGAAAAAATGTATAGAATATACATTTATATTATTTATTATCTAAACAGCCGTCTACATTGGTAAATATATTAAAAAAACTTTACATTGTTTAGATTATATGTCGATTTTCTGAATTTGAAGATAAACGACTGTCAAGAGTTCAAATTATTATGTAATAATTTAACACGTCCCATTAAGCTAATTGATAAGGAACGCCACGATCTTAATGTGATGAAAGTTTGATAATAGAGTACTATGGGCGTCCTTTGATCCTTTATCAGAAAATGCACCCTACTACGAAACATTTGTTCTTGCGGATGTGAAAATATCTGCCAGATTTTACATTAGAGTTTAAATTAGGGCAAGGAGCTCATATAACCAGTTTAGTTATTTTACTTCCATGGTTAGGGTAAAAAACTAAAAAAACTAAAAAGTCAAGCGTTGATAAAATAAATAATAATAATCTTTATTGTCATATAAACAAATTAAACATGTTTGTGACAAACTGAAAAAAAAACTAACATACACTCATACATATAATATATATGTATATATCAATTGTTGCAAGTATATAATATAGTGAAAAATCAAAATACAAATTACAACATATTAATATACCACAAAAATTTTAACCATCGGTAAATCAAGAGTCCCCTGTCCTCAGTTCCATTGACTGTTTTAAAAACGAGCCTAAACTTTGTACCTGTTCCATTGACTGTTTTAAAAACAAGCCTAAACTTTGTACCTGTTGAAAATTTTATTGATTGAGTATGTATTGTAGTTTTTGTTTGTTAGTGCAACTCATAAAGTCAGTATTTTGAGAAGCAATTTCAGAGAAGTAATCATTTCTTACATGTTTATTTGTTTCGCAATGAAAGAAGGAGTGAAATTCATCATGTTTAACTTTAATAGGGTAAAAATAAAAATTAATTTTAACATAGAAAGCGGTGGAGCTAATTTCCTCTAAATTTCTTTCTACTAAGACCATTATAAAAAGTTCTCCGTTATTTGAAAAGTCATACATGTAGTGTCAAATGAATACTTTTAGATTTAAACATGTAATTTTTTTACATATTTTCGCACACGTGATTATCTTATTATTGAAATTTCTTAACATGGCACAAGACTTCAATTTTTACAGATATTTGCAAATTTTTAGTATTTATTAAAAATTGATCTGTTGGACACCCATAAGCAATTTAAATCGCAGGAGAGTTTTAAACTCCTTATTTGATAATAATTGATAAACTTAAGTTATGACCTTTATATACAGACCTTTATATTTTAGAAACTTTTGGAAATTTGGATCTCAGATTTGAATAGATACCTAGACCATGGAAGTATTATATTTATATATTACTTCCATACATAGACACTGCATTTGGAAAGGTTCAGAGTTATTTGAATTTGAAAAAATATTCTTGGTATCCATTCGTTAGGCTAGCATTAAGTACACAGCTTGAGGTTATGGACTAAGTATATTTTGCCTTCCAATAAAATAGACTTGTGGTTAAAGCCTATACTTAATTTTCACTTATGTTGTATATGTTGTACACTTGTATTGTGCATTGTTATATAAATCATATGTGCCTTATCCAATGAATAATTAGGATTTGGACACGTTACATGTAGTACAACAAATACAGGGGAAATTGGCCGTACCTCTGTAAAATTTCATATCCTTTAACTTTTGCTTTATCTTAATCTTGAACTCTGCTTTAATACATAAGGCCAATGTATACCAAATCGTATATGCCACATCTGTCTATATCATAGAAACTGTGATTGGTAAACAAACATAGCTGTTATGATTACACAAAAGATTCCATTGAACCACATTTGCATCTTCCTTTCTATGATACTAAAAGAGGAAATATACATGAACATACAAAGACACATAATAACGATTTCTCGATTTCTACCGATTGGATTGAGCTGCGAATGCCCATATGTTACGACATTTCATAGATCCGTCACCCATTTTGTCTGAAAATGATAAACCACTTAAAAAAGGGGGAAGGGCTAGTTAGCCAACATTTGGACTGTTACTTTTAAAAAGTCTATGCACTTAACAAATATGCAATTCAATAAGGGGGACCGTCCCCCTGCCCCCTCCACTTCCTCATCTGCCCACTGTCGTAATCGAAATGTCACTTCATTGGAGTCGGTGTTGACGAAGTCTTCTGTGTCTTCATTATAAACAAACCTGAATGATACAATGGCATACCTTCTCTTGTATTAACGATATTATTTCAGATCACCGAAATTAAAATGGTTTATTCAATATTTTGGGCAACAAATACAGTATATCTGTTTTCAGGAATAGGCGCACAATTAGGGTTCTCAGAAGTGCAGTATCAAAAAAGTGAAGAAAAATGTTTGCGCAATCATGTCTTGAAAATGGTTCAAACTGAGATAAAATCATTTTACCCGTAAGCGAAAAGAATCGTAAATGTATGATGAGTTATTGTTATTAAAGTTGTATTGAAATTAAACTTATGTGAATTAAAAACTTAAAAACTGCAAGCTGTCAAATTATAAATCGATTATCAAAGTCTATAGATGAGTTAACGCACATCAGCAAGATCAAAATATCAATGAACAATTAGTTGTTTGCTGGCTTTAATGCCACTTTCATTACGCTTGGCTTTCCATGTCAATCAAGACTAATTTGTAGAGAAAGCCAGAGAGAACCACTGGCCTTCGACAGGAAAATAAAGAACCGTCTGTCTATTTTTAAAGATCTAAGCCGAACACGCTTTGCCGAAGAAAAAAAAACAAAGTTTTGACACGCTAGTGGCCATTAAAGTACTACGTATACAACTCGATGATCAAGTTCCCTTCACATATCGACAGTTCCAGTTTTCTTATGATAAATGAATATTCTATATCATACTCTTTGAAATGGATAGGGTTTGTTGAATTGGTTCGTCCTGGATATATCTGTAATACTTGCCACTGAACGACGAAATGATCTATTAACCATTTATAGGAATTGCGAAATTGTACTCTTTCAACTGGGAGTAAGACTAATTGTTTATTGAATTTTGATTATCAATATCATTTCCTACGTACTGTTAAGGGGATGACCATGTTATTGTTGGAGGAGAGGGGGCAGTATATGACTTTCGGGAAGAGAATATAAATTTTCCCCTTTTGCGAAGCCGGCTATTTTATTTTTTTTTATCTAAAATGGTCTTTTTTCAGAGACATGTATAACAAGGCCAGAAGACTCATGAAATAATCCCCCTCCAAGAATATCAAATGGTCGTTGACATATAAACAAAGCCGGAAAATCTTTATTATTTTTTATACATATTGATAGAGAAAATTGATTAAGAGATTTTTAGATAGCTGCATGCGTAACATCAACAAACAACAAACAGTATACTCTAATGTTAATGCGAAATGTTTTAGAAGATACTCTGATTTATGTAGACCGACACACTGAGTTGATATTTTAAAATGATGACTCCGTTATTAGTCCAAAAAAGAACTCAATGTTTAATATTTTGTCAAGACTTAGTCTTTGCTCTTATAACTACAAATACCATTTGTAAAGTCTTTGGTTTTTTTCCGACTTGGACAAACCCACAACCTCAACGCCTGTACCTGGGACAAATACACGCTCTTGGGGAGCTACCATTTGATTTTTATGGGGGGGGGAGGGGGGGCCAGGATGAAAAATTTTTGTCCTGCCTATTTATTTTTCCCTCTTTTCGGTCCTGCCTTTTTATTTTTCACTCTATTCGGTCCTGCCTTTTTATTTTTCACTCTATTCGGTCCTGCCTTTTTATTTTTCACTCTATTCGGTCCTGCCTTTTTATTTTTCACTCTATTCGGTCCTGCCTTTTTTTTCAGTTTATCCTGACTTTTGTTTTTACATAAATTGTCATCCTGCCTTTTTTTTTTGCAAATAATCTCATCCTGCTTTTTTAACTCAAAAATTCTGTCCTGCCTATTTTTTTCAAATTTTATCCTAGCCCCCCATAAAAATCAAAGGGTAGCTCCCTTACCGTGAAACTACCGATGTGGTAATACAAGAAAAAAATCTAGAGTTAAATAGAACTTAAATCAAAAGCAACAACAGTTGTATAGGATATTCCATGTAAAAATACTTTCATTTATAACCGCCCTTTCAAAGAAGGTAGGCCTATTGTGTGTGCCATTCTACCTGTGTGGAAGTGCTATTGTAAAAAACAACTTTTCTTTTGAAGAAGACCTACGACATACGATGATGTTCGGCTTAATTGTCATCATGACTGGTACAAAATGTATATTACCTTTAAGTTCGGTCTCAATGTCAAAATATCAATGTCGCATTATTCGTATTGATGTTACCTATCCGAATAAAGTCCTTTGACTTAACCTTTGTGACTTGATGTTAAATGAGTTGGTGTAATTTTTTGTCAATCTTACTTATTCATGATATTGGTTCTCTAAAAAAAGTTATCGGTTTCGAACTGTGTGTTCGTGTGACATTAAATAAAAAAAGAAAAAGATTTCAGGTTTGAAGGTTAGAAAATTTTCATACAATAACAACTTGAACTAATTTTAGCCAGACTATTAAATTCTGTGGTATTTGACAACCTGGGTGTAGAGAATATACGGAGAAATGCACAACGTCAAAATGTAATAATGGGAGGGAAATTGAAATTGTGTTTTCGTCATCGGTTGTTATAAACTGACTACTAAAACTTTCAAATAGTTGTGCAAGTTTGTCTAGTTTTCTATTACGAAACAAAAACATTCACAGCTCGACTTTCTCGTATGATATTAAAAAAGGAGCGGATGCTTCGCATGCTCAATTCAAAATAATTATCCCTGAAACACTTTTCGCACAAACTTAATCTTACATGACACAAACATACAGATTCAAGCAGGCTTCAAAGATTCGTTGATGGGTAAAATAGATACACATCTAGCATACTCGACAACACTATAGCTTTTTTGTTGATTTTATAGCAAGAAAATCCCAAAGGATCAATGTTTTAAAAAAAGGCCTATATTTTGTTTTATAATTTCCCACTTATTCTTCTTTCATTTAGAAAACAATCGAAACTAGGTGCGTAAAGGAACGACCATTGAACTTCCAAGGGGGTCCGGGGGGGGGGGGGGGGGGGGGGGGGGGTTAAAAAATTATTCTGAATGAAAATTCACCCCATGCCTTATATTTATAGTGTTAGATTTGAAAAAAAAATATTCTGGTTGATCGCGTCAAAGATTGAAGCTTGAAAAAATATTAAACATCAACAGTAAAATCATATCAATCTGATATGTTACTCTTCTGTTGTAAAATTCTAGGGGGCGATTTTTTTTCTTGATTTTATTCTTGGCTTTATGAGAGAAGTAAGCGGTCTATGTATATACATATATATATATATATATACAAGTCTAAATTGAAAACAATGTTCAAACCTATGATTGCGTTGGATAAAAACCGCAATTTTTATACGTGTGCATGCAAAACAAATTTCTTGTTAGAGGGGTCTAAATACAGCACAAACAACATTTTCCAAAAGACCAAAAAGTGAAAAAGTATATTTCAACAAAACGCATTTGACTAACAGGTCGAACAACTGATGTTCTTAAATCCTGCTGACTGCCATTGGCGATTGCCAAATAAACGGATCACCAGATATAACAAAATGGATCTTATAATAATTTATTACCAAACAGAAAACCATAATCTTGCGGAAAAGATGGTATACCGCAAACATGAGGTGCATAAATGTGTACACCATATCCGGATTTCGACAATTAATGTCTCTTCAGTGATGTTAGGAATCGAAACGGTATTTGGAAGGCCATATAATTTACCTCAATTTAGGATAGACTCTTGAATTTTGAAAGAGTCGAAATAGGATGAACGGATCATATAAACCCGAAGGCAAATATAATACAAGCCAAAACGAAAAAATATATATAACCAAGTCTAAATTGAAAACAACGTTCAAACCTATGATTGCGTTTGATAAAAACCGCAATTTTTATACGTGTGCATGCAAAACAAATTTCTTGGTAGAGGGGTCTTAATACAGCACAAACAATATTTTCCAAAAGACCAAAAAAGTGAAAAGGTATATTTTAACAAAACGCATTTGACTAGCAGGTCGAACAACTGATGTTCTTAAACCCTGCTGACTGCCATTGGCGATTGCCAAATAAACGGATCACCAGATGTAACAAAATGGATCTTATTATAATTTATTACCAAACAGAAAACAATAATCTTGCGGAAAAGATGGTATACGCTTTTTCGCGCTTTAGAACCGTTCTAGCAAAAATAAGTGAGTTTTCAGAATGAGGCTTTTTGTAAGGAGAAACTTCTATCCAACATATCTTCTTTTTATGAACAGTCCAAATAATATTATGACATAAACA